ACTTCTGTGATGACCTCTGCTCCTGCCTGACCCTCCTTCCTTTTGCCCAATCTTTTCTGCTTTCTGTCATTAATGAAAAATTTTTGTATGATCGTATGTTCTATCCTTTCAGCATATTGATTATGCATAATTTAAATGAACTTAATGATTATGGACTTTAGGATGCACATGTTAAAGTGACCTGAGTCTATCTTTTAAAAAGACTTCCCAGCTTCATACACCATCTGGGAGTCTTATCGCAGTGTTCCTCTTCGCTCACTTCTGTCCCTGTTGACACCGCTGTCAGTTACTTCACTGATCCATGTCCTACAGTCACCTTGTATACAGCTACCACTGTGGCCTTAAACTGTGTCCCGTAGAAGACAGGGATAAGAAAAATATTTTTTTTAAATATTTACCTTCTATCTTAGTTAGGGTTACTTTTGCTGTGATGAAACACCATAACCAAAAGCAACTTGGGGAGGAAAGGGTAGTTCAAAAGCAGTGAGGGTAGAAGCTCATACAGGACAGGAACCTGGAGGCAGAAGCTGATGCAAAGACCATGGAGGGGTGCTGCTTACTGTCTTATTCTCCATGGCTTGCTGATCCTGCTTTCTTATAAATCTCAAAGACCACCATCCCAGGGATGTCACTAACCACAATGGGCTGGACCCTTCTCCATGGATCACTAATTAAGAAAATGCCTTACAGCTGGAATTTGTGGAAGCATTTTGTCAACTAAGGTCCCTTCCTCTCTGATAACTCTAGCTTCTGTCAAGCTGACATAAAACTAGCCAGTATACCTTCTTTTACTTTTTTGCTTTGATGTCATTCCTGTATGCATATCCACATTTCTACTCTCATCATTTTCCTTCTACCTAGAGAAATTGCATATTTTAAAGCATAGTATTGATGAATGTTGAATTCTAGTCTGGTTGTATTTTTACTCAACACTTTGAATATTCCATTCTATGATTTTTTCATGTTTGATCCTAATCAAAAGCACACTCTAATTTATATGTTTCTCTGTGAGTAAGATCTATCCTCTTCTGGGTGTTTCCAATATTATGCCTGTTAATGGTTTTTTAAGCTTTGGATGCAGTGTGCCTTGAGTCCGGTGTGTCTGTGTGTGTGTGTGTGTGTGTGTGTGTGTCCTTTGAAGCTGTTGTTCCTCAGAATTTTTCTCACATGTTCAATACTTGATGACCAATAAATCATCAAAAATCTGTCCTGATGTGTTTCTACCAGGTCCACACCCAGCAGCATGGTCTCCATGTATATAGATATTGACTGCTTCTCTGTGTTTCTGTCTCTGCAGAAGTTGGCTTGGGGTTTTGCCCTCTAATCTCCTCCCTGAAAGGCTCAGTGAAAGCCACTGATGTTCATTTTGTCCAGATTGTTCTTCTAATGACAGGAACAATGATTTCAAAGCTCCTCCCAGATTAGAACTGAAACCAGAAGGCCTAAAGCAAGCCCTGAGAATTCAGCAGAGTTTGAATTCTGCTGTTGCCATTTGCAGCTATGCAACCCTGGGAAAATTACCTAACCTTTTAAACCCCAGCTGCTCACTGGCAAACTTACAATAATTATAAGAAGCTTAAATTAAACAAGGCATTGCCTTGCATCGAATCTAGCACACACAAAGTGCTCCACAAAAGTTAGCTGATGTTATTTCCCAAAGGTCGTTTTCATTTCTGCTTATGCCTGGTCCTCAGCTGGAGGCTTGCCCAGAACTCCATGTCTTCCTTTGTGCTCTGTTTGTCCCATATGTGAGCTTGGTACTGCATGAGAAGTTCTAATACTGAGAAGTGGGAAACCATAGGTGTAATGGCACCTGTCCATTTAATAACTGTCCTTTCTCCAATGCATGATAGGAATTTTGGAGTGTCAGTTTTGCTCATGGCATCAGCTAAACTTGCACTTGTATGAGAGTTAGAGTCCATTAAGACATGGTGGAAGAGAACTCTTAAGTTTCTTTCATTTCTCAGGTACATTAATTTTCCTGTCTGTGTAACAGTTTTCTTATCTGCACAAGAACTCTGGAATGTTTCCCACCTCATGAAATAGCTGTGCAGGTCAAACGGGGGGCCACATTCATAATTGTTGACAGTGATTAGTACAGAAGCACTCATTCAGCATTAGACATAAGTTATTGAACCATTGATCACAGGGATGTGGAAACAGGTGTAAAAGTTTCCTTGACCATTTCAACAATGGGAAGTTCTTATTTCACCGTACTTTTAGATATACAAGTTATTCTTTCTGTAACACAAAATATCCAGTGGACAAAGTGTCTGCCCCAAAAGTATGAAGTCACAGAACAACACAGGCAAAATGAGTGCTTGTCACTCTCTGTCCTCCCTTCCTTTTAATATACTTCATGCTTAGAAGCAAATATCCTGCCCTGTCATTGCTTTAAAGCAGGAACTAGAGGGGACAGCCATGTGAGAGGAGGAATCCATGTGGATTTCCGTGAGACAAATCTAAGATGTAGGAGAAAACATTATAAGGTAAAATATTAAAAACCAGTGACTGATAAATATGTGTAAAAGTCAACAGACAAATATCCTATAGTTGAAATCTACAGATGAGATTCCATTCCTAAGCACACTGCTAATTTCTGTATCTACAAAGGAAATATGGCTACCAGATATAAGTGATGCTAAAAGACCATGGTTGTCAGGGAATTTATTAAAAGAACTTGACACTATCATGAATGTTTTCTAAAATGCCCTGAGCACATTTCTTTCTCAGTAGAGGATACAATTTGTCAATTGTTAAGATGGATTTTTCTAATCAAGCCACTTCTGGATAGGTTTTGAAACTGTACACATTGCATTTCCTTATTAGAGTCACAATCAAGGGTCCTTAGTTAAGGACCTAAAAAAGTGTGAGCATCCTTGAATGATCCAAAATATCTGAAATGTACTCCAGTGAGATGCTAATGCTTACCAGAACTCCCTAGGAAGCACCATCATTTTGGAAATATTTAAGTTCAATAAAATTATTTTACAAGTAGTACAAATGCTTAAATATAGTTGACTTAGTTTCTAATTGTCTAGTAATATATCTCTATGTGTGTATCTGTGTGTGTGTGTGTGTGTGTGTGTGTGTGTGTGTCTGTGTAGCCAAGGCTTGCCTTCAGCTCTAGATCTTTATGAGTTAGCTTCCTGAGTGCTGTGGTTACAGATCTTTACCACTATGCTTAGTTTTAGCTGGTAATATTTTTTATTTTTTCATCTCCAAGGCTTTTCTAACTTATGTAGAGCTGAAGCTGTAAACTGTTACTCTCAGCACAGGTCTATGCTCTCTTATTGATACACTTCAGGCAATACATTAGTCATATCAGAGACAAGCTTGAAACAAATGTAAACCAATATTCATGGGCTCTGAAAGGAAGGGCAATTAATATGACAAACATTAATAAAATTATATGATTATCCATGAAAAAGTAAAATCATTCTATCATATTTGGAAATAAAACCTATCTTACATACAGTCTAAAATTTAAGTTTCCAGCTTTATTTTTCTCATTGTAGTATGAACTATCCACATTATCATTACCAGATAATGTTTATGGAGCTGAATCCTCCATTTTGACTAGACTCGTATTATAGAACATGAGATCAGACAATTTTACATCTACTCCTTTTATTGATTCTAACCAGTAACTAGGCAATCAATGGTGATTGCAGGATACAAGAATTCTAGAGCAGAATGAAAATTAAATTCGGCTCATCACTCTCTTAACTATATAAATGTAATAACCTCAAGATTAATAGCAGGCAGAGTTTAATATAAATAAATATACCATTTATGATCTGAAATCAGCAACAAAATTTACGAGGTCACTTCAGAATGATGATGCATTTAAAAGGAGATTGTATTTTCAGAGCAACTCCTCTACTTATGCTGTTAGCAATGTAAGTACATGGTGGTACTAATCAATGGGTAAATATACACAAGGAATATTTATTAAAAGAAAATGAAGAAAATATAGAAGGCACAATATGGAGAACTTCTGTTTTCTACTTCTATATAAACCAGAAGAGTACCTGCTACAGCAACTGTCATTCTCTGCTTTCTCTAAGCATAAGGGAGAGTCAATATTTTTTTAGCTATTTTCACCTACAAAGAACTCTATCCTCTGTTAAGTGTCCTTTATGACTTATTATTCTAGATTTGTATTCACCTTTGCTTGAATAAATACTATTATAGTAAATATAGACCTGTTCTTGAAACATTTTAGTTGCTAAGAAAGGAAGGTTACACATTGAATTCTTTATTGCATTCATCTTGACTTAAGGCAAAAAAGACAAAATGGCATTAATGCTGGAATTTTTACTTAAATTGAGGTCACATAACACTAGACTACTATTTAGAGTTTCTGATACACAAGCCTTCACAATCCTTGTCCTCTGGGAAACAAAACAATACCAACTACTATTCAAAGTATGAATTCCTATGGTGTGACTACTTACAACTGCCTGTAACTCCAATAGTCAGGAACCTGATACCCTCTTCTGGTATCTGCATACACCCACTCATATCACACACACACACACACACACACACACACACACAAACACAAGAGAGACACAAATATGAAATAAAATCTTCAAAGTATGTATTCTCCAAAGATACAATAGAAATACTTGATGGGTTTGCAGTCTAGTTTTGAGACTTACTAATTAGTTTAATGAAGATATAGATAAAGACAGTTTTCCCATCACATTCATATTATAATTTCATTCTATCCTTTTAGCCTAGTCTCCCATAGCCTGTCATTATTCATGATGGTAAAAAAGGACTACCCTTTCTACCACAAACATAATTTAAATAACAGTAATGATAAAAGCAAAAAGAAGAAAGACCTAAGGCTAACAGTAAAAAGGAGACCATGAGGACTCTGAATTTTAAGATATTTGGTTAAATAATACATTGATAATAAATAATCTAACTGTACTTTATTGATCAACCAGGATTAATTCTAAAGACTCTTTCTTGGGTTCACTTTCTAGATGGCCAGTACAATCACTTCTGGCTCTTCTCTAGAGCCCTTTGAGAACAAGTTCTTCTAGGAATACAAACGGTCTAATGATGCCATTCAGCTGCAAGACCGACAAGAATCTACAGGTGCCTTTTCCTTCAACCCGTCATAGTTATATTCAAGAATTCCGGGACCAAAAATATCTTGTGATGTCCCTTGTCTTAGAGATATGATTTCAAGGTTATTTTTAGTACTTGTAAAATTAATACAATAAGCACAAAAATAGTGCAGCAAACAATGAAGCACTCCCAAGTTTAGGGAGAGCGCCAGCCTTTCACTTACTGACGTCACACTTAGTGTCCTTAATTTAGATTTGGTTCTTTTTCTCAGTGATGGATTCTAGGATCATTCTTCTCCATCCTTAAAAGTAAAAGAAATACTAGAGAGCATCGAATATTGTACCTAGGGGAATAAAATCTATTTTTAGAGTCATTAGTATATACCCATGGGTCTACAGAGCAGAGCAACTGTGGGGGCAGATGCATTTGTTTCTTGTTTTTTCATTTTTTTTTCAGGAGAGAAACCACCATATATTTTTTTCTGTTCCCTCCCACAGGATCATCATCATTACCAATAGAACTCACAGTAAATGTAGAAAAACTCAACAATGTGACTTGAGTAAAGGAATCACTTGGGACTCCGGGAAGAATATTTTAAGCCAAACAAACATTCCCCAAAGTTTCTGCAAACTGTCATGACATAGCAAACTTTTTAGATGTGGAAAGGGAGAATAAGATATTCCTGAGTTCGACTTAGTAAGTTCCCATAGGGCAGTGTGACACATCAGTACCGCTGCCCCTAAGTCTCTTTCCAAATTGTATCTTTTCCATGGCAAATTTCCCTTAGAAATTTTCAGTTAAAATGTGTAAAAACAACGTGAAGAAACACTAAACACATCATAAATTCTTGTGATGTAAATGAGAGCCTGAAAGGACAGCGACAAAGTTTTCTCATGGGGCTTTGCATTGTATTTTGTCTGTTTCAGTGAAACCATTCTCAATGTGAAAATGACAGCAAATGTATGTAATGTAGTGTTTAAAGGCTAATGCCAGGTCAACTAAGGACATGTATGTAGTAAACAAAGAAATAAAAGTCCTTCAGTCCATCAGTTCGTAAGGTTACCATCCACAGAGTCTCTTCCCTTATGACAGTCTGAATTGCCAATATTTTTAGTAGCTCAAGTATATGTTTGATATGAGCAGTTCCAACCTGTTCATTTATATGCTAGGCTGAACCTCTGGTTATGCTTCCTTGACAGGTATCTATAGTGAAGTCACTCTGGAGTTCTACTTCATGCATACTCAAGACATTCTTACCCATTGCCTGTTTGAGCTATGCCAATGTCCTTAATCATAACCAGAGCAACAGAGGTAGGAGGAGCAGTGATACCACCCTCAGTAGGAGAACCACTGGATACAGCTTCATTCATTACAATCTTGCCTTGATATTTACAACCACAATACTGGTTTTTGCAAGATGCAGGCTAAGGTTCCTGAAAGGCTGACACTGGTGTGTGTGTGTGTGTGTGTGTGTGTGTGTGTGTTATTGATCTAGGTTTTATAGTCTTATCAGAGTGGCAAAATACTATTAATTCTAGACATGAATCCACATTGGTGCTATATTTAATTTCCCCAATCTCAGTGTTCTTATTTGTAAGAATGAAATAACAACTTGTATTTGTAAAGTTATTCTACATTACATAGTCCAGAGGTTGCCACGCAGACAACATCCAGTCAGTATTACTGACTGATAGCATCATTTCTCAGCTTCTTAAAAGATGTGCTGACCTCAAGTCTCTGAGATAACATAACATGGAAGTGACTGACTGCCATGCATAACCAGGAGGGAACCTTTGACTGTTATAAACATGAGAGGTGCTTCCTTTAACCTAGACTGGGAATCTCCCCATGAATTAGACCAAAACTGAATATATGTGTGGATTTTAGATTGCTCAACATTTTAGTTGGGTCCGACATTCTAAGTTCAAAACTCCCTGCCATGTAACAAGGGAATTGGGAGAACCTTTTCAATATTGAGAGAAATCAAGAAACAGAGAAGAGTAACAAATAGATATTTCAGTCTACATGAGTTATGAGTTAAAAGATAATGCATTTGTTTCTATCTTGGGGGCATTCTTTCAATTTTTCCCTTTCTAAAAGAATCCTAGTGATTTATTGTACATCTAGGAAAATAAAGTAAATCTCTTCAAGATGATAAAAGAGCAGGTTCATGAGGATTTGCTGGTGCTTTTGTAGTGGCTGAGTGAGTGTAGAAAGAGCACAGACAATTCACTGTGAGGAGCTGACAGAAGTAGATATTCTTTAATAAACAGACAACATGAGTATTTTCACTAGGAAACACTCCTGAAATTCCAGTTTCACTAACCAAAAAAGAAACAAGGAATGTTATGGAAAGATTGGGAAGTTTCCTGTAAAATACCCACAACTTACAGTAAGGCTTTGTTGAAGCTTCAGTAGCAAAAATACCTTGGAATAAGAGTTAATAAGAAATAAAAAATGTCTAAGTTGATATAACAGTAATTGTATTGGCAATGGTAATGGTGTTTCAGGTAATGAAATATGAATTTGGAATGTGTGTGTAGGAAAGAAAGAGGGAGAGAAGGAAGGAGGAGGAGAGAGAGGAAGAGAGGTGGAGCAGGGGTCTGAATGCTTTTTTCCAGCTAGAGCCAAAATTCAACTTAACCAGGAATTCCAACATTAGACAGCTTGGTGTTTTGGATGCTCTGGGATAATGGTAAGCCAGTTACAATAGGAATGAGTGGCAAGAGTGAATTCCAAGAAAGGAATCATTAAGGCAACAAATGTGATTTAAGGGTAGGGCTGAGGAGCTGGCTATGTCGTTAAATACCCAAATAGTTCTAGTAACACACACACACACACACACACACACACACACACACACACACACACCACACCACACCACACATCTAGCTCATGGTGAGTGCCAGGGACAGTAACTGCAAATCCAAATCCAAAGAGTAGAAGAGTAACCTCTCTATGTTCTCCTGAAGACCTAAGTTGGAGTGTTCTGGATTTCCGTATAGTACCAACAATGGCCAAGCCTCACTTTTTTTTCTTTTGGGTTTTTCGAGATGGAGGTTTCTCTTTATAGTGTATCCCTGGCTCACTTCACAGACTAGGTTGGCCTCCAACTCACACAAGACAGATCTGCAAACTTCTGCCTCTTGAGTGCTGGAATTAAAGTGTGTACCATCAAGCCTCATTCTTAACTAGGTTCAACTCCATAAAGGCAATACTTTTATTAATCCCAGTTTACAGGTCAGAAACTCATCAATGAGGAAAAAGAGATTAAGAGTTGTCCGAGGTTACACTTCAACCAGAAAGATTGAGACACAGACCTTGGATGAGGGGGCCTGACTCTATCTATACCCTTACACTGACTGTTAGCTTTCACGCATTTACACTGGCCTGCTCTCAGGGATCTAGAAAGACATGTCATGTCATCATGAGCAGAAGCCAATATGTGACACTGTAACCACTAAGTAGAGCTCTCTCCCTATGTACATGTGTCATATCCTCTTATAAAGGGGGATATAACCGGATTCCCTTTTCCTTCCACTCTCCCTCAGAGGCCACCTCTGCACCTCCCCCCAGTAAACCTCCCATACTAGTTCTGTTGCATGGTTTGACTTTGTGATGCCCCTTGACTCCAACCCGCCAAGGTTGCCTTCCACCGTCAAACTACTATACCGACCCACAACTGTGTTCAGGTAGGGAAATTGATCTTCTATCACAATCTGAAGCATATGGAAAAGGAGTTAATGTTGCAAAAATTCCGAAAAACACTGAAAGATATTGGTGGATCATGTAGTTTCCTGGGGACTTTCATTTATTCATTTATTTGCTTATTTATCTGTTTGTTTGTTTATATGTTTACTTATTTATTTGTTTGGAGGCACCTAGAGTAGAGAACAAATCAAAAGTCTCCTAAGTCCACAGTGTGGAAATTAGTATGTGCCAGAAAGAATAGTTGTTGAATCTGGGAAGATTCTGTTTGTGAAGAAATCCCCCTGGAATAGCGGAGGAAATCTTTCCATAAGGATGGGTTGAGCTCACTAAGTAAGGGGTGGGCAATCAAAGAGTTATTGCTTGTTACTACCATCCTATCAGTCTGTCACCCCAGGCTGATGTAGCTTGAGGAAACCTCCTGAGGTTCTAAGGAAAGTAGACTATCGCAAATTGAAGTTGGATAGGAAACTGCCACGAAGGTACCTGCTGGGTGCTAAGCTTTGCACCTGCACACAGTTGCCCTGGAGGCGTGTGAATCTACACATGTTTTATTCCTGAGAAATAAAACTTCTGTCACATTAATCCCCAAATTCTTCTCTTACACAGTGGGAAAGTAACAGGAACACAGCATTTATCTCAGATGTAGCAGCATTTTCTTTCTGACTGTGTGAATGGCTGAGTGTGAATGGCAGGGAGGGACACAAAGACGCGAAGCAGTGTTTCACATTTAGCTTCTAACATCTGGGATAAATTCAGTCAAATTAAGATGCACAAGACTGCACCAGTGCATGGTGGGAGTTCCGCTGTTGTTTTTGTACAACAGTCAAAATGATGTGGCATTTCTGTATACTACACAAATGACATTGGAGGCCAAGTTTCTTTAAAGAGAGTAGATCAGAATCCAGATCCTGTCTCCTCTCATGAGCTGGGAAAGTTTTGGCAAAATGCTTTAAGCTTTCTGAGTCCTGTTGTATTTGTCTATCAGTACAGATGATTGACAGCTGCCTATTCAGAACACTAAAACAAGGTTTCCACAGCAAATTAATTTCTGGATGCCTGCTGGATGCACAGACCTTGTGCTTCCAGAGTTCTGATCCACCCATTTCTTGAGTTTCTGGACTTTAGTTTTTAGTGGTCATTTCAACAATTAAGATGCTAGTTATTTGCAAAAAGTCTACAGAAAATATTTTTAAACAGTTTCTATACTAATAGTGTAATTGAGGGTTGAAAACCAAGTTCTCTACTTCATCTTCACTCACATGAGAATTTTCTTGTTATAAAGTTTTCATTTGCCTGGATACACTCCAAGGTCATGTTCTCATATATAGCAAATATAACGTGTATCGATTAGGTAGCTCGTGCCATGCTCTCTGTTAATTGGCTTTCAGCCTCTAAATTAATTCCCACAAAAGGAAGAAGATATGGTTTGCAAAAGGTTTTATATCTTGCTTATGTGCTCATAGCTGTGAAGTGACCTATCTGGGATTCAAAACAAAATCTGTCTAATCCCAAAGCAACATTTGAACTGCCAATTCATGTTGTCTTAACTACACAGAAAATTTGCAGAGATGTTTTATGTATTTTCAAATAGCATCCATCACTGAAGATAGGCAAGACTGGTTTTAAAGTGCACCCCAGTTTCCTTTGTTCTATGAATAGGTGCTTCCTGCCCACCTTGACCTATTAAAGGGACATCTGAATTGTGATATCTGTCAGTCCCAGAAAGCATCTTTCAAAAGTCAAGTTTTTAATCCTTGGTCTCTGAGCACCAGAAGGAAATTGCTGATTCTTCCACTCCCATTCCACCTATTTCTTTTTTTGTTTTTGTTTTTGTTTTGTTTTGATTTGATTTTTGAGACAGGGCTACTCTGTGAGACAAACCTGGCTGTCCTGCAACTCACTTTGTAGATCAGCCTGGCCTCAAACTCACTGAAGTCGACCTTCCTCTGCCTCTCCCTCCCAAGTACTGGAATTAAAGGCATGTGCCACCACCATCCAGCCCACCTAATTCTTATGTTCTGATGGAGTGGTACATTCATGCTTTCCCTTAAGACTAACTTTTATTTCCTTGGAGCTGTGTTATCTGTGTGTTTACTAAGAACAGCAGCAATGATTAGAAATCACTGACATTTATTAAGTTTTATATGCTACCTATCAGATTAAGTAACAAATGTGCTTTGTGTCATTTGCTATTCACTCTAGCCTTATAAAGGAAATAGTGGGGATGCCAACTGTCTGCAGGGTAGATTTCAAACTAGGTTCTCTTATATAAGTATCCATACCTTATATGTGTGTGTGTGTGTGTGTGTGTGTGTGTGTGTGAGAGAGAGAGAGAGAGAGAGAGAGAGAGAGAATGTGTGT